AATATCAAGTGGATATTTATACTTAATAAAACTGAAATTTTCTCGACTGAAGTAGTAAAAGGCTGTCACGAAGTCCGTTCGATGAAGTTGCCACGAAGGATATGCGTTATCTAATAAAATAATAGTCTGCGAAAAACTACAAATCGAAGTGCTAAAATTCATAATAAATACATATGGGGTGTTCACAGTTCGTTCCAAATAGTGTCTGAAAATGTAGACGTCTACATTTTAAGACATTTTCTAACCGTAAAATCTGTGGTGTTGTTGTTTCCCATACAAAATTGGAAAACGACGCCGTCTACATTTTGTCACACTCAAAGGTATGTTTTTTACACGTCTACATTTTGCAACCTCGCAGCAGGGTTGCATTATGGCAATACTAATGAAATTTTTTTTATTTATTGCGCACGTTTTTTGTATTTGCATTTAATTTGAGCGTAATTTCTGACGAAAAGAAACAAATCAAGGGAAAGAAATAACAAATATTAGGAATTAGGTAATTAATCTAAATAATTACAATTTTTCAGAAACAAAATCGAAAGGCGATATATAAAAAATGCACGCAAAGAGGAAATGTCTGGCAACACCAGCAAAGTTTTGAGTCGATTTTGCGACGACTGCTAGAAAGGGGTGCTCACAGTTTGATGCTAAAGATGTCTCAAAATGTAGACGTCTATATTTTCAGACACAATTTGGAACGAACTGTGAACACCCCAATACATTTTAAAAGTTCAAATAGAAGGTAAGATTTGTTAATGTAGACATTTAAAGTGAAAATTGCAAAGCCATGTATTTAAATTAATGTTCACCTCAATAAAAAATAATAATTTACGTATTTCTTTCAGCCTTAAATATGTACATAAATACGTATATACATACATATACATACCTACATCCCAGCAAACATTTGGAGTCATAAATGAGTCTTTAAGGAGTCCTATTTCGGAGCTATTACGCTCATAATGAGCTCATTTAAGAGTCCGGTATGAGTGTTTCCCTTCCTACGAATGTCGACTTATATGAGCTTAAATTCATACATCAAATGAGCCTCAATATGAGTCATATTGGACTCTTATTGGCCTCATATACGGCTCATTTTGGACTCTTTTAAAACAAGTTTTGGCCTCATATATGACTCTTTTTGAGACCCTTATCGGCCTCATAAATTGCTACATTCGGACTCTTATTTTAGATTGCTCTTTGAGTCTTATTCAACTCACTATATTTGCAAAGGCATTCCGCAAAAAGTCCTTGCAAATAACATACATACATACTTACATGCATATACACATTCCAACATGCATTCAATAGCAGCAGCTGAAGCTAAATTTTGTTAATTTTTTGTTTTGTAATTATTTTCAATTTCTGTATAAACAAGTTTAGATATAAATTTCAAATCTTTATTGTTTTTATATTGGCACAAGGTGCTGGCTCATAACTTGGCTCATATATGAATCCTAAAAGATTCATATAAGAGTAAAAAATTTTTTGTTTTTGAAACTCATATTTCTTACCTACCTAGGACACCTTTCGGACTCATATATTCTGAACGCTCAGAATATGTTTGCGGGGATTTATGTAGCTCGAAAATACTAGATATACAGCCAATAATCAATTATCATGGCAGTTCAGTTGAACCCGTACAATATCCCAAATATGAATCTTCCACTCACCATAACGCCTATAATACCTGCCTTAAAAGATTTGTCCGTTTCTACGGCGGCACCGTCAAAACCGGATCAGTCTCCATCGCAGCCGGATTTAACATTTCATTGTATGTGTTGTCCGGCGTATTTTGTGAACCCTTATATGCTGTACCAGCACATGAACAGCCAACATCCACAACCATCAGAAGCCGAAGGGATTGATAAAATCCCATCCGAAGACGATGACCAAGATTATAGTTGGGTGCTTGAGCCAGTTTGCGAAATAGTCGATATGGGTGGCGATGGCGAGGATGATGATTCGGATAGCGATTCTGACTCGGACGATTACTCGTCGAGCAGCTCATCGCAGAGTTCTAGTAGCAGCTCCTCCACTGTAACAGCCTCCAATTCGAATTCTAATACCCAAGACTCCATTTCAAATGAAGGGCACGGTTGCGGTGAGGATAATACTCGCATAACCACAGTAAGCACTAACACCGTGCCGCCGGCTATTTATGAAGAAATTGTTGGTGGCGAGTCGACGAGCTCCTTGAGTATCCCTAGTGAGTCTGCCTTTCCAATGTTTAAATTTAAGACTGCAGATCCACGTGAATATACTTCGATTATTTTGCTTAATCCGTGTCACACAGTACAACCTTTGCAATCAAATACAAGCATAACACCTGTCGTGATTAAGCCGGGAAGGGGAAGGCGCAGCGCTGCACAGAACGCTCAGCTTGCTGCTTTGGCTAATGGTGATCAGAAGTGTTTTCAGTGCGCACATTGTGAGGCCTCCTTTCAAAATGCGGGCGATCTTTCCAAACATGTTCGATGTCACATCACCAATAAGCCATTCAAATGCGCCATCTGTGAGAAAACATTTACCCATATTGGCAGCTTAAATACGCATATTCGAATTCATAGCGGCGAGAAACCGTATAAATGCGAAATGTGTCCAAAGGTAATTTAAACATTTTTTTTTTTAATTAATGAAATGCCAAAATTCTAAAACTTCTCTAAAATCTTCTCTCTCAAAGGCATTTACCCAGTCAAGCAGCCTAATGGTGCACGTTCGTTCTCACTCCGTACGCAAGCCTCATCAGTGTCATTTATGTGATAAAGGTGAGTTGTATAACTTATTAAAACTTCTATTCATTTCGTTATTGAGTTTTAAAAATCTACATCATACATAGGCTTTATAAACTCCAGCTCTCTTGTGTTACATCTGAAGCCGCATGATGAAACTGAAGTATTTAATTGTCCTGAATGTGACAAATCCTTTAAACAGGAAGATTTACTCGAGAAGCATTTACAAATGCATACACAAGAACTTGTCTATCAGTGTTCCATCTGCCATGAAGCTTTTCGCACATCCTCTGAGTTAGTGCAGCACATGAAGTGCCACATGGGAGAAAAGCCGTTTACGTGCTCCATCTGTGATCGTTCTTTCACCCAATCTGGTAGTCTTGGCATACATATGCGCATTCATACCGGTGAACGACCGTTCCAATGTAAACTGTGCGATAAAGCTTTCACGCAGGCATCCAGTCTTAGTGTGCATATGAAAATTCATACGGGTGAAAAGTCGTATCCTTGTCATATATGCGGAAAATCCTATAGTCAACAGGCGTATCTCAATAAACATATACAGGCCCATCTGGCAGCAGGACAGACTGATTCGACGGCGAATGCGGCCAGTAATTTACCGTTTCCAACTGGTCTCATGCAATCGCAGGAAACTCTCGTTTGTATATTTTGTGGCGTGTTACATAAAGATGTAAACTCATTGGCATTACACGTTACACAGAAGCATGCTGTGCTGTTGAATAACAGTGTTCGCAGTGCTGCGGCACAAATGCAGATGACGTCCGATAATGTCAGCGAAGAGGAACGTCGATTGCAGGAGCAACAGTACATGCAGCAACTGCAGTTAATGCTGCGCAGCGCGAATGGCGGTGCTTTGCAACATATTGCAATGGATGTGGATATGGGTAATGGCGTAGTAAAAGTTGAAGTGGAGGAAGAGGAAACCGGAAGCTTTGAACCGGATAGAGAATATAAAGAAAGTGCACAAATATCAGAATTGGATATCATTAAGCAGGAATTCGACCCAGAATCTTACGAGGATTATGGCGCTGAAGAAGAAGTGGAAACCGAGGAATGAATTATATTATGTCTTTAAAAATATTTGTATAGAATACCGTATCCTGGCAACAATAACATTATATCAGAGGACGCCAAACTCAGATAATTTATTTGCTATGCATTCTACATACATACATATATATATACTGCTGTTCGTCTAATTTTACATATTTAAGTACATGCATACATATGTGCTTATTTTAATAATTAGTATATACACCAGCTTTGGCATTTTTTACCTGCTCTATTTCAGTATTGTTTGTATTTAATAATTCTTTACCTATGTCCACAGCATGATTTTAAAGAAATACAATTTTTGCTTGCATACATGATGATCCCGTTTTCATTTCGAATGTAAACTACTGATATACGGGGTTATTATTAGTTTATTTTGTGAATATACATACTTATTTTGTAGATATACACATGATATTTTTTGTATCATGGATATACATATATCTGAGGCAATTCTAATGCAAGATTTTATAATTTTTAAAGAAATGTGGTTAATTATAAAACGGATTGTAGGTAACCCAATGTGCGCGAGATTGTTCTTTTTCGCTTTTATGTGTGGTAAATAAGGACTTGTATACATCGCTAGCCTTAGGGTCCTTTGCAACGCTGTAGTCGTTTTTCAAACGTTTCATCTCTGGATCTTCTAAAGCATCCTCAGCCGCACCTACACGTTTTAAATTGGCAACAAGTTTCATTTTTGTTCCAGCTGCTGCAGTTTTGCTTGTTGAAGGTCCATTTGCGCACAGCTTTTCTTTTTTAGTAAGCTTCCCGTTCGTTATGGTGCTTTTCTCCTCGTTTATATCTTCTGTTTTATCTGTTCCTGCTTTGCCGTCCCCTCTTTACCAGTGAAAGTTTCATTCATCTTCTTTTCCTTTTTCTCCTTCTTATCCTTTTTACAGGTCTTACGTTTTACATTACGCATCTCCATCTTAGCTTGCATCAGTTCCAAGTCTTCATCTGCTGCATTGAGAATAACCACATCTTCGATACCAAAGGGTATTAAACAAAGAGGGCTTGTGCTACCACCACTATTGTCACGTTTAATTTGCTTAATTGCACGCTCAGCTATGACGCAACCACAAGTCCACAACGCCACAAAACGAAATTTACCAGACATTTCAAGGCCACTTAATTTGCAAATATAACGAGCATGTCGTGTGTCCAGCAGACCCTCGGTTTTATCTTCATCAGTGTAAGCTGGATTTGGTGTTAAGTTGAGACTTTTTATATCTTTAAGATTGCGAATGTGTTTGATAGATTCAGGCATTTTATCTTTTTCCAATAATTGCTCAATGAGGCTTTGCTTGGAGTATAAACGTCCAAGGCTGCACATTACAGTTGGCTCTTGTAAACGCTGTTGGGTAAGGGCACGATGTAGCCAACGAAACTCGCGTTCTGCATCTTTATCTTTATGGAATTAGTGTGAAAAGAGAAGAGAAATTAATGTTCAAATAGTTACCCTCTAATACTAATAATAAGCCATCCATTGGCACGCACCTGTTCCGGTTTTTTAGCAGTCCGCACCAGCTCATCCCGACGCGGAATGGTACCTCCATCGCAACCCATTTTTTTCGACTGCGAATAAAAACTTTTAATCTAATTAATTGATCCACGAACTGGAAAAATTATTCTGCAAATCCAATATAGATACCAAATCGACCAGCAAATAAGCCATAAACAAACTCCTTCTTTATAAGCAAGGCATTCACAATAAGCAAGTGATTTGCGAAGAAGGCTACCAAATAAGCCACTGTAAATAGGGATAAATCGATACCTTCAAGGTAATACTCAAATCAGCACTTGTACTTGTATCAAACAAGGTATCGATACCTACTCAGTATCGGAAAGGTATTGATTACTCGTACATAGAACTACGATTTTGCAGATTTTTCAAAGTTATTGAATTTGTTTCACAAAAAATATGCATTTTTACAAGATAATTTATCTTCTTATATTTATTCATACAAAAACAATAGATTACATTTTTACAAGATTAATAGATAAAGTTTTTTCATATAAAATAAGTTTAAGAAAATAACCCCTTTTTTGTCATATTACTCCAATAAACTCAACTTTTACAAGTGTTTTCCTGAAAGGCGGTTTCGAGATTTAGATATACGGGCATGTTCTGAAATTCGAAACTTTGAACTCGAATTGATTTGCCAAATATTTTTTAGTTATATCTGATGAAAAGTGTGAATATTATGATTCCAAACCGTAAAAGAAGTTAATGCGATACGTTGAAATTTTCGAATTTTAGAAAATGCCTGTACCTGTTTTTAGAAAAGCCTCTAGCAAGGGACAGATGACCCAACAACCGTTATGTATAAACGGGCTCGCTTGTGTAGTGCGCATAGCTTCCCATTCCTCTAACGGGTGGCTTTTCAAAGAAGATGCTGAAGCATAGTAAATTTTGCGCTTAGACTGTGTTTATACACGGATACTTTTGTCGACGCGATTTTTCACATTCCCTTTTGGTGTTGCTCGTTTCATTTATACGGCGATTTGTGTGTATGCAATTGTTGTTGTCAGCTGCGAACAACGGTTCAATTTACACAGACGAACGAGAGCACAACGCGTGTTGCCCGAGCATGAGCAACTAGAGGTTCTCAGATATTTGCGTACCTGTGACTTTGTCACGGTTACTCAAAAGTCACGGGTAGCTGCTGTGACAACTTCCAAAAAGTCACCTTGACAGACTGTGACAAGGGAACAGTGGCATTGATGTTTTTGTAGTAGGATTGCGCCTTCAACAATAGCAGTAACAGTCACGGCAACAGCTACGAACTGTGACTGTGATAAAGTAGCCGTCGCAACCCTGCAAAAATTGTTGGACCATGTAGTCTATTTGTGGTAAATTGGAGTAGTTACAAAAGTGATCCTCTGTCATGCTATAGCGGACCAACTCGTGTGTTTGCGCCAGCTTATTGTTTGTTATCCGATCACTGCTCTTGTTTTAATGAAATGTGATTGAAGTTGAGCATTTTAAAGCACATTTGCATGTCTGGCTTTAGCTGAACGTGTAGAGATGCTCGCTGTTAGTTCTTAGCTCCCAGCATGTTCGAGTTCGAATGCCGTCAGAGGCAACATGTAATTTTTAATTTTTGTCTTGGTTTTTATTAATTTCGAAAAAGCATTTGAGAAGTGAAACACAAAAGCGTGTACAAACGAAAAAATATAACAACAATGCCATTGTTAATATGTTGGAGTAGTTTTGTGCTACTCTGTTGTAATGCAGGGATGGAGTATATGGTCCTGCCCTAGGACATCGCAATGTTAATTGGACCATATTTTTTATATGAATTGTGGTTAATTTTGGAGTACTCTTTGGTCCTTAGGGAGTACTCTTTACACGCATGCATGGAGTAGTCGCGATTTTTGCAGGGAATTACACATTGAGAAACTGCAACCAGTTATTTAAGACTAAAATCTGATTTACGATGTTTGGTATTAGAATTTCACACCATTAAAAACGAGTGGGAATGACCAAAACAAACGACGAAAATAGTCAGTAATGCCAAATAAATTAATAATGCCCTTCCCTGCAAGAACAGTGACTATCATTTGACAAATCATTTGAGTGGCAAGACTAATAGAGATTTCTGTCACTGGCTACCTACAAGTTTCTATCAAACTCTAAAGGGCAGTGGGAAAAATCTGATGTAAACATTTGTGTTCCGTCTTCCTCAGACTTATGGCATTATTTAGTTGTCTCTTTTTACCAACGCAAAATTTGTATATGTGTTAGTAAGGTAAATGAGAATGTGTTAGTTTCCATCACACAATTCTTGTAGGGTTAGTTCACTCGGTAAAAGATTACCGTTTGCCACTTTTTTGTCACAGTCACGGATGAAAATCACTGTGACTGCAAAGTCACAGTCACAAGTAACGTTGCTCCTCAAAAGTCACGAGATCGCCCATCTTTATGAGCAACACGGCAACAAAAATCGCCGTTTTTTCGATACCTACTTGGATCGCAGTAAAAAGTATCGAGTAAAAAACTACTTGGTAAATTGAGAAAAGTATCGAGTATATACTTAGATTTACACGTATCGATTTATCCCTAACTGTAAATGGAAAGTAAAAATCAGCTGTTGCTTTCGATGTAAACAAGTGTGCAATTTTGAAGTTTTCGCTAAAATACGCTTTTAATCACAGTATACCAGTAGAAAAGGTTTTTGTTTTTGTAGCTGTTTCGTGGTGAAAGTCCTTTATGGGGGCCAAATTTCCCCACAAGAAATTGAGCGCATGGTTGCTTTTGCATTCCAAAAGAACGAATATTAGAAAACATTGAAAAAAAGTCTGAGATAATACAATTATATTCTACTAGAAATAAACTCGATAGTGTGCGCTAATTAGATAATGTGATAATCATGTTTAAAAACTCTTTTCAAGTCTTATTTTTCAGAAAATAATTTGTGGATCAGATTGCTCTGAGCGCTTCTGTTGTTTACCAAGAAAATGCACCCCTGTTGGTTATTATTTCTGTATCGCAAAGCGGTGAGTTTCTATTTCTTGGTAATTCGGTTTGTAAAATGGTAAACAAATTATTGAAATTTATTTATTTGATGTGTTTAACATTTGTTTAATGCAATTTTCTGCCTTTTCAGACTATTAATTACAAGCACAGCATCATCAACGGTGATTGCAAGAACTACTGCAATCCCTGCGGTTTTTCCTCTTGGTAAATGCACATAGAGGTTGTAAAGTTTTTGGAATCGATGAACTTACTCGAAGAAGACGATGGTCGAAAACATATGATGAAACATCTTCTGGCGTGCCTTTGACAATCGTTAAGTTAGACGGAGGCTTCACATACGATATTTCACACATGGATGGAATTCGTTAGCGGACAGAGCACACATTTACAAAATATTTATCGTTCTGCAGAACATGCATGCATATTCGACTCCGATTTTATGGGTCGATTACGGAGGACAACCGAACTTCAGTGGGTTGGCCAGTGGCTGAAATGGTATTACCGATGGCAACTAGCAACTGAAAGCTGGTAACTGAGTTGCTATATTGGCACGAACTAATCAAGGCTGTCATAGAATCCATCGTAGTCCGATTTTCCGTGAAATCTATGAAAATGCAATTAAATTCGAGTAGCTACGAACACAGTGCTTGCTTTGAATACACACGTTCATAGCAGTTCAGATTCAGTGATCGCTTTTTTGTAGATTTTATGAAAAATCGGACTACGATGGATTCCGCCACCAATATATTTTCTCCTTTGACAAGATGTTGGAGAATCGGGGCAGCACAGCCCTATACCTACCCTATGCTCTTACGTGCATATGCTAAATTTCTCGTACCTAGCTAAAGTGCTTGACAAAGGCAGAAGGCTTATCTTCAACATTATAACTTAAAGTAAAAGAGTTAAAGATATGCAATAAAAGAATACAACAGAACCAAAAAATCTCAAAACTATTAAACATAAAAAATTGCACGAATAAAATTCATAATTTAAAATAAAATAAAATATCGCAATTGTTTTTTATATGTACATACATATTTACAAAATGAATCTTAAAGCACCCACAGTAAGTCCTAAACATATAAACGACTAATAAGAAAAATAATAAATAACAGTAATGTGAACAAGTATGTCGAGAAATCTCTAAATAGTAGCGAAACTGTATCTGAATAATAACAAGTAATTTTGAGCAAAAATACAACCGACTTTAATGCTCATTCAGGTCGTTCTGGTTACGTAGATCCGACTGTCCTGCCTTTTTTTAAAAAGGTTAAAAAAATGAATACGTATTCTACAGAAATCAAGATACATATTTAAGGACTTTAAGTAAAAATAAACAAAGGAAAACTTGTTCGTGATATCTCGAGGTGTATCCATGATACAAAAATCTGAAGGTAAAACCGCTGAGAGGCAGCCTGAACATTTTTGAAGTTTGCTAACATTACAAAAATGTTTTCAAATTTCCAATCTCACAAATACATTCTCATTTTCAGTCTCAAATAAATGAAAATTTCAATATTTTCATCTATTTGTTTTTTGTTTTACTTTTATTTGGCATTTGAGTTGCTCTCAAAATTTCAATTTTATAAAATAGACAAATTTCAAAAAATAAATGATGGCCGACGAATTTAGCAAGCGCTTTTACCTTTAAATATTTGTATCATGGGTGTATTAAACAAGGTGTTATTGACAACTCAGTGCGGCTCTCTTAATATTATGTAAAAAATATAAACAAACGATTCAAAATGCATAAAATTTTTTTTTCAATTTGACTATAGGATGGTTCTTCTGAGAGCAATATCAAATTCAATCACACTTTGTTAAATACATTTTGATCTCTACCAAATAATATACTTCCTCTGTAAATATTCTATGAAGTGTTCCAAAATTTCCTCCGAGCGCGTTCATTGTTGATCATTTGATTTAAATAGTTTGTCATACAATTAATACTATAGTTTGATCGGAGTTAATATATTCTTCAGTAATTAATTGTATTATATTAAAACATAAGCTTATAAGAAATTTTTTAGTCTTAACATTTATATCGTGTTCCAAAATTCGCTCCGAGCGCGTTCACTATTGATCTTTTGATTCAAATATTGTTTGTCAAGCATTCAGTAGTGAAGTTTGTTCGGAGTTTATATATTCTTCAGTAATTAAACATGTTACATTGAAATATAAACGTATAATATGGTAGAAAGTTAGAAATTATTTAGTCTTAATATGCATATTTCGCTCCGTGTTCCAAAATTCACTCCGAGTGCGTTCACTATTGATCATTTGATTTAAATAATTATTTGTCAAGCATTCAGTACTATAGTTTGATCGGAATATATATATTCTTAAATAATTGATCACATTTTATTAAAATATAAACCTTTAATAGGGTACAAATTGTGAAATTATTTGGCTTTAACATGTATAGTCGGCCAGAGACAATTGCAGAAAAGTGCAACTACTCGTGAAAACTTACAATAAAAACAATGTAGATGAAAGTAATAAATTTTATTTTTAAAATTAGATCCATATATAAAACATTTTACATCATTTATTTGAAGTAAATCGGAATATATTTTTACATATAAGATAGTTTCCATTTAACTCATAAAGTACATATTTCACTACAAATATTTTTAAGATCATTTCGAATTGCAAAAATAGCGCTAATTAGTTGTATTGAAGTATGAAACATTTTATTACGTTCATGGTTACTTATAAAGCGCATAACAATATTTCTCTCGCCATTTATCCGATGTTAACATTTTTCACCACATTATTTTGCTGCACAGCACCCTGAATGCGGCAAAATAGTTGCTCGCAACCCTCAAGTCCTTTATGGGGACCAAATTAACAGCCACAACAACAAAAACCTTTTCTACTGGTATACTGTGCTTTTAATTACGAACTATTTAACAAGACGTCTGCTAACTTCCCAAGGAGAAAGAAGTATTATCACCCAGAAAAGCAAGAGGAGATAAAAAAGCAGCGAATGATACGCTTCGCATCGTAGAGGAATAACCTGGCTTATGCAGCGCTCCACTTTGCCAACACAACCCAAAACCCAAAAAAAATTAAAAAAATAATAATTACGACCTAATTTCTCTCCTACTGAAATTTTTACAATTACCGAACCATGCCTGAATACCAAAGTTGGACATTTCCACACATACCCGCGGAACTGGCGTAAGTAAAGTACCTGGTATTAAACAATATTCGATGGCCTAATAATTGCTTGAATTAATTCATCCAGTGAACTGCTCTTCCAAAATGATGAGAAGTTGGTTGTGGTGGGTGTTATAGGGAAATCAGCCTTTTCAGATAGCAATAAAATGGTTGATATGGGTGTGTTGGATAGTCACCCTAGCCTTCTGGATCACCAACCACAAGAGGTAGTTCTGCAGCATCGTGTGTTTATATGTACATATGTATATAGCAGGTATCTTTTAATTAGGGAACTATTCGGCTTTATTACAACCGAAAAAAGTCCATGTTGCTCCTGCACTTCGAAACTACGTTCGATGCAGCTTGTATGCAGAAGATGCTTGAGGAAGAATTTTATTTTTTTTATTTTATTTTTTTTATTTTTTACAGTCGGTTAGACTTATATTGCAACAAAGATTTAACATTCTTATAATTAGATTTTAGATTTAAAATGTAAATATTAAATATTAAATACAAAATACAAAATGCTCTACAGAAATTTTTAAATAACATTATTTCTTTATCACTGCAATTATTTTATGTCAATATAAACGCATGCAATTTCCTGGAAGTTATGTAGACGGTTGGAAAGGCCGAGTTTCCAATCCGCGCTATTCTTTTTGGGTTACTCCATTTATTGATATCTCCTGGGTGGTCAGAAAGGCCGAGTTTCCGATCCACCCAGTCGCGCTTTCGTGACGGTTGACGGTTGGAAAGGCCTAGTTTCCAATCCGCTCGTTTATTGTTTATTTTTTTTGTCCACTTCTGTTCTATACTTCGGGAGTCTGAAGCTGTTATTCTCTCTCAACAAATATGTATGCGTCTCATTTATATATCGGAGATTATCGCTAAGATAATCCGGCAGGTTGCCCTTCTTAATATTGTACACAAATTTCATAGCGTGGTAAAAAACTTGTTTCTTCACGCTTAACCAATTCAAGGTTTCAAGCATACATCTTGTTGGTGTGTCATACGGTTTGTTGAGGATGAATCTCATCGCTCGGTTTTGCATTTTTTGCAGCTTATCTACATGGGAGTCCCCCGCTAGGAAGAAAATCGTGGGGCAGTATATAAAGTGCGGTTCTACTATTGACCTGTACACCAACGTTTTATATCTTCTTCCCAAGTACTTACACGATCTCTTTATAAGGCCAATTTTTTTAGCAATCTTGTTGACTGTATACTCAACGTGCTCATCAAACTTTAGTTTGTTGTCTATGTATATTCCTAGGTACTTGACAATTTTCACCTCTTCGAAATTTTCATCTTTGATTTTTAATTCACGGCTTATGGAGTCAGCATTTGCCGCTCTGGAAAATACCATAAAGTTAGTCTTTTTCACATTCAGTTTGAGTTTATTTGAACACAGCCATTGATACAAAGAATTAAGATCTTCTTGCATTTTGACAATCGCATTTGGTAGTTCCCTATCACTGATCGTTAACAAGGCATCATCCGCAAAGAGTTTTATTTTACAATGTTTGAGAGAACTTTTAATATCGTTTATATATATATTAAAGAGTAAGGGTGCCAAAACTGAGCCCTGTGGTAATCCGATGTCTACGGCTATCTTACTAGACATCTTTGAATTAACTATTGTTTGTTGCCTACGATTACATAGAAAGCTTCTAAACCAGTCAAGCTCAGTGTTTTTTATACCAATGTATTTTAGTTTATCCAACATTCGGACCCTATCAGCGGTTTCAAATGCTCTTTTAAGATCAATAAACACTGCCACTACATTAAGGTGTCTGTTCAGATCTTCTTTCCATTGAGAAAGCACCAGATTCAGCGCAGTCTCACAGGAATGTTTAGCTCTGAATCCAGATTGTTCTTTTATGAGTATTCTATTGGATTCCACATAGTACTGTAGCTGGTTTTTCACAACGGTTTCTAGCATTTTTTCCAAGCTAGGGAGAGTATTGATGGGCCTAAGCTCCTCAGCTTTAACCGTTTTTCTAACTTTCTTGACGGGCACTATTGATGAAATTTTCCATTCTTCCGGTACTGATCCTGTCTGGAGACTCTTATTTATAAGTAGGGCATAGAAATATCCCATATAATCAGAAGAGTCCTTAATAACACCTTCAGAAAGTAGGTTGTTTCCCCCAATTTTCCGCTTAAATTTTTTGGAAATTTGAAGAATGTCTTCCGTTGAGACCTCTTCAAATTTTAGCGTACTTGTGGGAGCTCGTTGCTCGAAAAAATCATAGTTTACACACTCTATATTGGTATGTATTTCCAAAATGCTGTCCACGAAAAACTTATTTAGGTTTTCCGCAATTTCAAAGCTGTCTACGTAGTTGGTGTTATTTATTATCACTTCCCCAATATTTTCTTTGACCTCCGTGTTATTGACTACCTCCTTTA